TATATATATATATATATATATATATATATATCAAAAAGATTTTCAGTTGCTCCATTCACAATATTTTACTGCATTTTTTTTTTGAGTCCACTGGCCCTCTGTAAGACCAAAGTTTTACCAGACCTTTCAGATCACTTGGAACCCCTTCGTCTTGAAAGGTTGATTATTATGGTGAAGGCCTGTAGTGAGAGGTCAACGAAATTGCTGAAAAATAACCAGAAACTTGCCTTAAATCCACCATTTCATTAAAAGCTTGCCAAATTTTACTTAAGATGACTGAGTTAGGCTTAGCCAATTGCAAATTGACGGTAGCAAATTTTTGGAAGCACGACTTTGTGCTGTAAAGGCATCAGTTTCACCAGATTAACACTGAACAGCATTGAAAACTCACGACTCTTTAAGTGAGAAGTCGTGACGGTAAAATGTTCAAAAATTTAGGTGACTAATAAAAATATTTATTCTTCCAGCCGTTACTTATATCTTATTCACCACCGTCCTGCCATGAATACCCGATTTTTGGTTTTTATAGTACAGTACTCGCAATCACTTCAAACCAACATCAGCGGCAGAAATTTGCTTAACCAAGAATAATCACATAGGACAGTCTCTGTAAACTATGGAACTTCAAAAATGCAAATTTTATTTCTTTGGGAGACATTTCTAGGTCAATAAAAGTCGTACAAATTTAAAACACTAGAATGGAATAAGATATTGTATACTGCTTTGCAAGTTATGTTTTCAAAAATCCAAAATTAGGAACGATCTCAAACTGTGCAGAAACGGCACCAAGTGCCTTCATTACCTACCCTAAATTCTTCCACGTTTTTATATTAAGCAAAAAAACTGACTCTGGAGAACTTTCAGTTAGGTTTGAGTTCTCTAAATTGGTTTAGATACTGTTGGCACACCGGTCTTTTTTATAGATTTATTCAGCTTCACAACTAAATGGTCAAGTCCCTAAAACAGGAATACATTGCAAATACGTGGTACAGTGAAAAGAAGTTACAAGGGCAGTACTTTAGTCATTGTCAGAGCGCATTGAATATAGCAGAACAAGATGAAAATGACTCTTGGAGAATACTCTGAACTTATATATGGCTTAATGGTCCAAAATTTCACTCACTAATTAAGAAGGAAACGTTTTCCACGTGTATTCTAGCCATACGGATATTTTTTAACAAGAATCTTTGCCCCATAAGGCCTTCTGAAATGGTTGGGTATCAATGTGCTTTCTTCAGTTCTCCACACGCAGATAAAAACACCAAATTATTCCAGACCGTAAAGCATAGCCAATGCCTTATCCAGCATTTGACTTTTCAAATTTTAAGCCTTCAGTCTGACTTCTTGTAGTCTTCAGCTTCAATGTAATTTGGTTATTCTTAAAAATCTGTTTCTGTCGTTTCAAGCTTGAACTTCTTAGGCACCCAAGCCGGAAACACGCTTAAACCAGAGGTCTAGAATTAAAGGAAGTTATATCAAGCAAACAAAAGGCATTCAGTCAGCTGTTGAAAAAACAGTCCTGTGCATCTGCAAATGACAATTTTGTGGGAAACAAGGGCAGAAGTACATCTGTGACAATGCAGATTTACAACAGTACTCTGAGCTTGTACCAACAGCTTTTAGTAGTTCTCTGTCAACCTCCAAAGTTATTTGAAACACACAATCCCTCGCCTTACTACCGATTAGTAAATAAAATGTTATAAACACGTGTTGTAAATTTTTGCTTAACAACGCGATGCATGCCGTCTTCTGCATACGATGAAAACTGCTCTATTTCAAAAATTTAAAAAGTTTATCATATATATGTTCAGTGATTGGTAAAAAGAGCTCTAAAAAGCGCTTCATTTCCTCCAGGAATAGCAGATACATCAAGATTTTTCAAACAACCTTCTTCGTCACTGAGAAAGCACCCATCGCAGAAAAAAATCAGATTTTATTTTTTTTTTTTCCTTTTTTAGTGAAATTGCATTGATGAGATTATGAAATTTTTGACTCTTTTTTTATCTACTTATATAAAATTACAACAAAAAATCTGTAAGCATTTGACTGAGGCAAACAGTATTTAATAGATTCTCAAGTGCAGAAAATTTTTCCCAGCTTTTGAATTCAGCGGTAGATGGCACTGCCGAAGCTTGCAGACGTAACCACTAATGGATTTGCCATTGAAAACAGCACCCACAGGTGTCCTAACCAGCCATCTTTGTTTGGTATCAGTTGTGCTAATATGATCATACTCTTGGATATAACCATCTGGAAGATTACAAAATGACGAACACCTTCATTACCATTTAAAAGTAATCCCACTATTAAAACTTTGGCAGAAATTCAACCTAAACTGCATTCTAAGTACTGGAGACTGAAGGTTTGAAGGGAATCCATTTGTAGAAGGAAAGAACAATCACGTGAATTTTTTTGAAATAAACTGCAAAACAAAAAAGTAATTGAGAAGCCGAAAAGCAGATAACTTGTAAGTCAGCACGAAATAATATATTCAAATTGTTATTTAACAAACGTAAGAAAGTTAGACGTCTACAAACTTGTCGAACTGAAACGGTCTTTGTACTTCAAATGCTCCAAAAGTGTTCAACATAAACAGCAACATACCTATGGCTGATAGATTTGCGGTGAATAAACGAATCAATTTTTTTGCTCTACGAAACCGAAGACGCTTTAAAGACGCGAATATTATATTTTATACCTGACAAAAACATGACCGACAGCTGTGCATACCCAGATTCTCTAAGTACGTAGTCAGAGTCTGAGCAGCGATTTCATAAATTTTTTCCGAACATCTTCTAATTACCTTCGTCCTTCTCGACAAACATAATAAAAACAACTATTCTCTGGCGATGTAATGCCGGAGAATAGCCTT